TAGGTCATCTAGTCCAACCCACCCACCCGCCCAAGCGGGAGACCCTACGCCATTTCTGACCGATGGCAGTCCAGTCTCTTCTTGGAAGCTTCCAGGGATGAAGCTCCCACAACTTCTGAAGGCAACTTCTGTGCCATGGGTGGATGGTTCTCACTGTCAGGAAGTTTCTCCTTATTTCCAGGTTGAATCCTGGGTCATTTTCCACCCATTATTCCTTGTCTGGCCTTCGGGTGCTTTGGGAAATAGCTTGACCCCCCTCTCTCCTCCCTGGGGCAGCCCCTCAAATATTGGAGGATGCTCTCCTGTCTCCCCTGGTCCTTCTCTTCCCTAGACTAGGCAGGTCCAGTTCCTGCAACCGTTCATTGCATGTTTTAGTCTCCAGGCCTTTAATCATCTTAGTTGCTCTTCTCTGCACTTTTTCTAGAGTCTCAACATCTTGTTTGTAGTGACCAAAACTGGATGCGGGACTCTAGGTGTGGCCTTACTAAGGATAGGTAGGTAGGTAGGTAGATAGAGATAGATAGAGACAGACAGACAGACATGACAGATAGACAAGACTAGCCACGCCCAATTCCTGCAACCATTCATTTTATATCTTAGCCTCCAGTCCCCCTCTATAGATGGATAGACGGACAGACAGACACAGAGATGAAAGATAGATGATAGACAGATGGACGGACAGACAGACAGACTAGCCGGGCCCAGTTCCTGCAACCGTCCATCGTATGTTTTATCCTCCAGCCCCCTCATCATCCTGGTTGCTCTTCTCTACACTTCTACTCAACATCTTTTTTATAGTGTGGTGACCAAAACTGGATGCAGGATTCTAGGTGTGGCCTTACTAAGGCTTTGTAGAGTGGTATTAGTACCTCCCTTGATCTGGATTGTGTCCCTCTGTTAATGCAATTTAGGATTGCATTGGCTTTTTTGGCGGCGGCTGCACAACGTTGGCTCCTGTTTAGCCTGGTTGTCCACTAAGACTCCGAGATCCCCCTCCCAGTTCCTGCTATTGAGCCTGGTTTCACCCAGTCTATTATATGTGTCCTTTGGGTTTTTCTTGCCTAAGTGTAGGACTTTCCTTTTCTCTACGTCAAATTTCATTTTGTTAGATAGGGCCCAGTGTTCTAGTCTGTCAAGATCCCTCTGGATCTTCAGCCTATTTTCTAGACTGTTGGCTATTCCCGCCATCCAAGAAGCTTCAAACTTTTCTTTTTAATTACAATCTGTCTTAAATCGCTACTGACTCCCAGGGACGTTATTGTCCTAATCACCAAATTCTCAAAGCTTCTGAAATCACTAATCAATATTTATTTTCCCATTTTTTTAAATGGAAAGTAAATATCAGAAAGAACATTAAAAACAGCGAGCTTTATAAGCAAGAAAAAGTTATGGAAGAAAACATTAGATACTACTTGGAGGGAAACAGTCTGAAAACATTAGCGACTACTTGGAGGGAACAATCTCAGAAGAAAGCAGAGAAGTACTTAATAAAGAAATAACATTAACAGAGATACAAAAGGCGATATGAAAACAAAAAAATTACAAAACACCACGCCTGGATGGTCTTACAAGGCGAACTATACAAAAATTTATCTGAAATATTTGAGCCAATATTACTGGAACTATATAATGAGGCATTAACACAAACTAGACTTCCGAGGTCCTGGTCCAGGGCATACATCTCCTTAATTGCAAAAGATGGCACCGATCAACAACTAATTGCGAACTATAGGCCAAACTCGTTGCTAAATACGGATTATAAGATATTCATGACAATATTAGCAGAAAGAATGAAACCAATTTCGAGTGAGCTTATACATACACACCAGAATGGTTTCCTGCCAAATAGACAAATTAAAAACAATATTAGGACAGTGCTAAATTCGATTGAATACAACGAAGCTCACCCAGAAAAACAGGCAGATTTAAGTTTTTTAGATGCACAAAAAGCATTCGATAATCTCAATTGGAAATTCATGCTATATCAAATTAAAAAGCTGAACTTTGGCACTAATATGGAAAAAAAACATTACAAGAAATATACTCAAATCCAAAAGCAAGTGTATCATTAAATGGAGATCTCACTGAAGATTTTGAAATTGCAAAAGGAGTGAGACAAGGCATTATCGCCTCTGTTATTTATCTTGTCTTTAGAAGTGTTGCTAGCTGCAACCAGACAAAACCCAGAGATTCATGGAATTAAAATTAGTAATGAGGAATATAAAGTTCAGGCATTTGCCGATGATTTGGTATTTATAATGGAAGATCCCATGAATTCGGGACCAATATTGTTGCAACAAATAGAAAAATATGGGGAAGTGGCAGGATTTAAAATAAATAAAAATAAAACTAAGATGATAGCCAAAAACTGTACAACAAAACAGAAAGTAGAATTAGAAAATATGGGACTGCAAATAGTAAAAAAGGTGAAATACCTGGGAATTTGGATTTCACCCAGATGTTCATCATTAAAAGAGGACAGTTATGTTCAGGTGACTCTGAATTCTTTACAATTTGGAACAATTGGTATAAACGGTTAACAAACAGAACCAAGAAGTGAGACAATAATGTTAATTGAAACAATCCTTAAGAATGTAAAATAAAATTTTATAAATTATATAAAGATATAAGATTAGAAATTATAGCTAAAGATATTATTTAGTAGTAGACAAATGCAATATAATGTATTATGATATTTAAACCGAAATCCTGTATAGATGCCAAGAACGTTGTTGATACCATGATGTTTTACGATGTAAAAATGAAAATTAATAAAAATATATTAAAAATAAAAATAAAAACATCTCGACATGATCTCAGCGCATGGCCAGCCTTCCAAGGGGTGTGTTTTGGGCAGGGTGACCGAGCCTTGCCTGCATCATTAATAAAAAATTAAAGAAATATTCCATAACTGTTGGGATTCATTGTTGGAATGTACTGTATTTCTATGCAACAGCTACAGTGGTATTCAGTCAGTAGATGGCAGTATTTATAAGTTTGGCTCTATGGTATACTCTATGCTCTTTTGTTCTAAGTAGGGGTTCCTGTTTCCTGGAACAGTTATATAGATGAGCAGTAAAACACATGGTGACTGTTCTCTTTGTTTGCTCTATGTGGTGCTTTATATAAACAGAATTTCTAACAGTAACCCTTTCCAAGGGGGCTCCCCCACCTAGTTGGTGAGCCCAGAAATACTAGGGGGAGTTGTTTATCAAAAAATTTCAGAGATGGTCTGCAATGGGGGCGCCACCCTTTTTTTCCACACATGTGTAACCCATGTGAAAAATTACAGTTAGTCTGCAACTTATAATCATTTATTTAGTGACCATTTAAAATTACAACAGCACTGAAAAAAGTGACTCACGGCCGTTTTTCACACTTATGATTGTTGCAGCATCCCCCTGGTCACAAGTTCAAAATTTTTTGGCAAGTGACTCATATTTATGATGGTCACAGTGTCTCGGGGTCACGTCATTCCCCTTTTGCGACCTTGTGACAAGCAAAGTCCATGGGGAAAGCCAGGTTCACTTAAACAACCGTGTTATGAACTTAAAGAGCCACAGTGATTCGCTTAACGACTGTGGCAAGAAATGTCTTAACGTGGGGTCAAACTCACTTAACAACTGTTTCGCTTAGCCATGGAAATTCTGGGCTCAGTCATGGTCATAAGTCGAGGACTGCCTGTAGCAAGCATCTAAATGCATACAGTCCAGAGTCACTGTCATGCCCCTGTTGGAATCTGATTCCGACGGAGAGATGAAACAGCTGACAGGGCGTGGGAGTGTGGCTTTGGTGGCTGTGGAGGAAACGGGGGAAGGGCAGAGTCCGGCTGAGCCTTCAGAGGAAGACCCAGGCCCACCCCCTCTTCATCCTAGGGCACGCAGGGAGGAACGGATAAGGGAGCAACGTGGGTTACGGGGGAGGAAAGGGCCCTGATCCCCTTCATGGGGCTGCAGCTGGGAAAACAGGATTTAAAAAGGGTGTTTTGTGCACAGCACCTTGCTGGTTTGTCAAGTCTTATCTGAGTTCTGGCATCCCCCCAGCTGTGTGTGTTTCGTTATATTTTGGAAGTCTGCAGTTCCTTATCCTGCCCTGTTCAGTTAATTGCTGCAGCGTGGTTTGTGTTGGTTTTTTATTTATAATTTATATGTACTTTGGGTTCGGATGGAATTTCTTCCCTGTTCTTGGGAGAGTTTTTTTTCTCCAGCTGAGGATAACTGGACATTGGGGGCCAAGTTAGAGGAATTAAAGGGTCATTACCTGCTTTTGTGACTTGGTTGCTTTTGTGCCACGCCCTTTTGGGTCGTCGCAGTCCCTTTGGACAGGTGAGATGGGCAGCGGATCAATTTAATAAATATATCAAATGCCGGTGATGCCATCTTGACTTGCGGTGACAGCTGTCTGAATCCACACCTGGTTTTGCAGGGCATTTCCCGACCAGTGGTGGGATTCTACCCGTTTCCCTACTGGTTCGGCGATCGTGCGCTTCGCGCATGGCGTGTGCATCTAATATGTGAGTGCGCGGCTTTCCAAACGCCAGCGGAGACTCTGCCGCGGCCATCAGCCGTGAGGATAAAAAACAGAAAAGCACAGGATTGGCTCTTCTTTCCCCGCTCAGCTGATCGTTGGAGGCCTTTTTTTTAACTACCGGTTTGGGTGAAGCGGGCCAAACCGGGTAGCATTTCATCACTGCTCTCCACCCACCCATCCCTTCGTCTCGTGTGTCTGTCCCACCCCCCCCTCCCCACTTACCGAGGGAGCTTGAGCTGCTAATGCTGGACCGGTCACTCCCGGGCGAAGGGGCATCGCTGCCGGGGCTGCCCGTAGTGCGGAGAGAGACCACCGGCTCGTCGCAGCCGTTCAGGTTGCCAAAGGTGATGCGGGCATTGAGGATGTGGAAGATGGGGATTTCTGGAGGCGAGAGCGAAGGAAGTATGTGTTTGTGTGTACGTGTGTGTGTGTCTCAGTCCTGCTGCCTCCTTCAGCACAGGTAGAGAAGGAGGGTCACTTTAGGAAGAAAGACCCTCAGCACCTGAAGCACACCTGGTCTCTTCCACTAGTCTCTCGGCCGGGTATCTTGGACTACAACTCCCATCTAACACCATCGATGTAAAACAGAACAGCTCTCTCTCTCTCCTCTCCTCTCCATCCCCCCTCTCTCTCTCTCTCCCTCTCTTCCTCCCTCCTTCCCTCTCTTCTTCTCTTTCTCTCTCAATCCCTCCCTATCTTCCTCCTTCCCTCTCTCTCACTCTCTTCCTGTCTTTTCCTTTCTCCCCTTCTCTCTCTTCCTCTCTTTCCCTATCTTCCTTCTTCTCTCTCTTTCTCCCTATCTTCCTCTCTCTCTCTCCCTATCTTTCTCCATCTCTTCCTTCTTCCTCCCCCTCTTCCTCCCCCCTCTTCGTATCTTCCTCCATCTCTCTTCCTATCTTCCTCCCTCCCTCTCTCTCTCCCTATCTTCCTCTCTCTTTTCCTCCCTCCCTCTCTCCCCCTCTCTTTCACCATCTCTTCCTATCTTCCTCC